AGAGAGTTAGAAACATCGATGAGAGAGAAACATCGATCAGCTGCCTCCTGCACACTCCCCAAGGTACATGCCCTTGACCGGAATCGAACCCGGGACCCTTGAGTCCGCAGGCTGATGCTCTATCCACTGAGCCTAACCGGTTAGGGCTTTTATTGCTTTTTATTTATTTTTTAATATATTTTTATTGATTTCAGAGGAGAAGGGAGAGGCAGAGAGAGATAGAAACATCAATGATGAGAAAGAATCATTGATCGGTTGCCTCCTGCACGCCCCCGACTGGGGATCGAGCCCGCAACCCCAGGCATGTGCCCTTGACTGGAATCGAACCCGGGACCTTTCAGTCCACAGGCCGACGCTCTATCCACTGAGCCAAACTGGCTAGGGCTATTTTTATTCATTTTTAGAGAGAGAGGAAGGGAGATGGGGAGAGAGAGAAACATTGCTGTGAGAGCAGGACACCGATCGGCTGCCTCCTGCACACCCCCTACCAGAGAGGAGCCTGAAACCCGGACAAGTGCCCTGACCGGAATCAAATCTTTTGGTGCCTAACCAACTGAGCCACACCAGCCAGGGCTCTAAAGTTTTTCAAATTGGAGGCTTAAATCAACCATTTTCAGCCTTTCATCTCCTTTTGGATATTATGCACTTAAATCTACACATTTTCCTCTAAGTATGGCATTAGCTGCATCTCAAAGGCATCGGTATGTCATATATTCAAAACGTGTTTTGTTTTGTTTTTCTTTTACTCACAGGTTATTTACAAACTACAACTCAGGCAATGATACGGATGAAGCCCACAGAAATGATGTCAGGCCCTAGCCGGTTTGGCTCAGTGGATAGAGCATCCGCCTGTGGACTGAAGGGTCCCAGGTTCGATTCCAGTCAAGGGCACATGCCTGGGTTGCTGGCTCGGTCCAACGTGCAGCAGGCAGCCAATCAATGATTCTCCCTCATCATTGGTGTTTCTATCTCTCTCTTCCGCTCCCTTCCTCTCTGAAATGAATTAAAAAATATATTAAAAAAAAGAAGAGTCCTAACTGGTGTGGCTCAGTGGATAGAGCCTCCGCCTGCGGACTGAAGGGTCCCGGGTTCGATTCCGGTCAAGGGCATGTACCTGGGTTGCGGGCACATCCCCAGTGGGAGGTGTGCAGGAGGCAGCTGATCGATGTTTCTCTCTCATCGATGTTTCTAACTCTCTATCCCTCTCCCTTCCTCTCTGTAAAAAAATCAATAAAAATATATTTTTTAAAAAAAGAAGAAGAAGAAAAAGAAATGATGTCGGGTGTCAGAAGCCAGGCTCTGAAAGGTTACAGATGGCGGTGAAGCCCAAACACAGGTCAGATCTACTCTGAGCTGCCAGAAGCAGGATGAGATGGCCCATGGTGCGGGCGGAAGGCTTCCGGGGCTGCTAATATTGCTTCTTGATCTAGATGCTGGTGGCGTAAGAAAATTTAGTTCATTAAAAAAAAATAATCAGTGAGCTGTCCACGCCTGTGCATTTCCCATTTCAGATAAAGATTTTTTTTTTTTAAATACAGCAAATGCCGGGAAGGCCTTGACCATAGAAACCTCCTCCTCGCCCCAAACCCCAAATCCTGACCAGATCAGACCAGACCGCTGGATCCCGAGCCGGGACCTGGGCCACCAGCGGAAGATGCCACGCACCTCCCACGCCCGTCTTCTGCTGGGCGATGTAGGACTCGAAGCGCAGGCGGAAGCGGTTCTCGCCGCCCAGGCGGCCGTGGGTGCCATCGTCCACCAGGAGGAAGGCCGAGTAGTTGTAGTCCAGGGGGAACTGCACCCCGTCCTGGGGGTCCCCGCGCCACCGGTAACTCGCAGGGAACGAGCCCTGGGGGATGAGGGGCAGGACCAGGGAGTCTTTCCATCAGACCCAGGAGTCCAGGCCCCCAGCCCCTCCTCCCTCAGACCCAGGGGTCCAGGCCCCCAGCCCTCCTCCCTCAGACCCAGGGGTCCAGGCCCCCAGCCCCTCCTCCCTCAGACCCAGGAGTCCAGGCCCCCAAACCCCTCCTTTTCCAAGCCCCTGGGTCCTACCTTGGGGTTGGTGAGGGCCTCTCTATTGCGAACCACTCCCCAGGGGGCCACGCCCATGGCCACCACCTTGGTGCCCCCAGTGCTGGCTGTCTGGTGGTCCCGCACAGCTACGCCCACATGCCGGCCAATGCCTGTGTGCAGCCCCCCGGTGACAATCCAGGCCCCTACAGACACAAAGAGGGTGATGATGGTGAGTTCAGCAGCACACAGGTGCATAAAGACAGAGAGAGAGAACAGAGTGTGAGACAAGCACCCACACACAGAGAGGGGGGCAGGCAGCATCCCAGAGAAGTGGGGGAGACGAGCAGCCAGCCCCGGCCCAGGAGGCAGAGCCCCCCACCCGCCCTCAGTCACCTGTGCTCTGCGCGGCCCGCACCAGCCCGCTGCGCAGCAGGTCCTGCAGCCAGGTCTGGAGGATGGGGCCCCCCGACCCCCCCAACACTGACACCACCAGGTTCGGGGCCCGGAAGCCCCATGTGCGCGTGACCAGATTATAAACTGTAGCCGGATCCGTGCGGTCAGAGAGTCGGAGGAACTGTGGACACAGGGGAGGGGGGACACAGGAGGGGCACAGAGACCAAGAAGGAAGCAGAGGCCCAAAGAGACCCGGAGGGCGGACAGAGCCCCAGAGGGAGGACAGACACCCAGAGAGAGGGGGACACAGACACCCAGAGAGAGGGGGACACAGACACCCAGAGAGAGGGGGACACAGACCCAGAGAGAGGGGGGGACACAGACACCCAGAGAGAGGGGGACACAGACACCCAGAGAGAGGGGGACACAGACACCCAGAGAGAGGGGGACACAGACACCCAGAGAGAGGGGGACACAGACACCCAGAGAGAGGGGGACACAAGCATGCAGGCCTCACATTGCTGGCCTTGCGGCCGGCACCCATGAAGTCCAGGTCCCCGTAGGCATCGGTGGGCTTCTCCGTGGTGTGCAGGTCACTGTCCCACTCGGTCACCACGGCCGCCCCGAAGGCGTCCTCCACGGCCACGGACAGGTGGGCATTCCGGGGACGCCCGCACTGGCACAGGGTCCCTCTGAAGGGGAGGGATAGGGGGCGCGTGAACCCCAGAGGTGGCCCCCAGCCCCGAGTGTCTTGTCTTGGAGACGTGTCCATACTTCGGCCCGCGCCCCAGAGGCTGTCGCCGTCCCGCTGACCCCGGCCCTGCCCCTTCCTGGCCCCGCAGCCTGAGGAGGACACGGGCGGGAGGAGAGACAGCGCCTTGCCCACCAGGAGGACGGTGGGCCCTCGCTGCCCCGTCCACACGGACCATATTCACCGAGGAAAGAACCATCCAGAGAGGCTGAGGCAGCTGTGTGGCTTTGGGCGAGTGGCTTCACTTCTCTGAGCTAAATTCCCCCTCCAAGCAAAAGGCGAAAATAACACAGCCTGGCTCGTAGCACTGAGAGGCACCGGCAGCATCATGCAATGTTCCCTGGAATGAGGGCGACAGGCCAGGCGCTGCATGGGCTCCACGCAGAGCTGGAAATAACCTCGAATGACAAACACAGCGAGGGCGTCACTCCTTTTTCAGTCCTGGTTACTGCCCAGGGGAGCGGCTCCACTGGGGCCGGAACGGCGCGCCCAGCCCCGTGCACAGCTTTCTCTTTAACACAGAAAAGCCGGCTGCGGGCTCTGAAACGGGGCTGGCGACAGCTTCCGGCGAGGAGGCCAACACCTCTTTTTGGTTTTCATTGTAATAGTCTTTTGTGGCTCGTTTCTCTTTGCCGCAAGTGCATCACATATGATACTTTCCCCCCTAAACAAACATACACGCAGCCCAGTGATGGCGAACCTATGACACGCGTGTCAGAGGTGACACGCAAACTCATTTTTTTGGTTGATTTTTCTTTGTTAAATGGCATTTCAATCTATAAAATAAATATCAAAAATATAAGTCTTTGTTTTACTATGGTTGCAAAGATCAAAAAATTTCTATATGTGACACGGCACCAGAGTTAAGTTAGGGTTTTTCAAAATGCTGGCACGCCGAGCTCAAAAGGTTCGCCATCACTGACATAGCCCCTACTATCTAAATGCCATGGGCCAGAGGTGTTTTGGTTTGTTTTTTTTTAAATATGTTTTTATTGATTTCTCTTAGAGAGAGAAGAAGGGAGAGGGATAGAGAGAGAGAAACACCGGTGAGAGAGAAACACCAACCACTGGGGTCCACAACCCAGGCACGCGCCCTGACGGGGAATCCAACCGTGACCTCTTGGCTCATGGATCGATGCTCAACCACTGAGCCACACCGGCCAGGCCTAAAGATTTTTTAATTTGACTTTTAGAGAGAGAGGAAGGGAGAGGGAGAGAGAGAGGACCATCAATGTGAGAGCAAAACATCAGCTGCCTCCTGCATGCTCCCTCTCGGGGATCGAGCCCGCAACCGGGCACGTGCCCTGACCAGGAATCGAACCCGCATCCTTTCAGTGCCTGGGATGACACTCCACCAACTGAACCACCCCGGCCAGAGCCGGCACCAGAGTTTTAGAAAGCAAGGAACCCCGGTTTGGGGAAGGCGGGGTTTAGCTGCAAATGTATCTGAACCTCTTTGGTCCTCGATTCCAGAACGGGGGACCCGCGTTTACACAAAGGCAGTGAGTGAGCTGTGGCCTCAGGACCAGCTTCATGGGAAGGACATGGATTTGATAAGAGCTGTGAAGACAGAACTTTGGTCAACAAAAGAATGGCCACCCGGTCCGCGAACAGAATACGCTCAGCCCAGCACCCGGCACAGAGGGAGCCTCGGGGGGACACACCCTTCCTCCTTCCGGGGTCTACCTCCAGGGTCCTGGCACGCCTCGGTTTACCCCCCTGATCCTTTCACCCATCTCAGCCTCGTCCCTGGACTCCCTTGTTCCCTTCCATCTACTTCCTACCAGCCCTTCCCTGCAAAACTTATCCAAGGAATGTTCCAGAACCCGAGCTGTCCATACAGAAGCCCCTAGCCACATGGGGCTCTCTATCTAATCTAAGAATAGACAAACATGGTAATTGACTGTACCTTCGCTACGCCTCCCATTGGCTAATCGGTGCGATATGCAAATTAACCGCCAACAAAGAGGGCGGCTAATTTGCATACTGCAGGCAGGGCAGGCCAGCATGAGCCGCCTAAGCCCCGCCCCCAGCCGGGAACCCTGTGTGCAGCCCTGGGCGGGCGGGACCCCCGTCTGCGGCCCTGGGCAGAGGGGCTTGGCGGCGCGATCGGCCCGAGGAAGCCCTATTCTTGCAGGAATCCTCCTGCAATGAGCTTCTAGTATTATCATATAGTTCTATGTTTTTTTACACTTACTTTGTCTTGGAGCTCTTTACATTTCAGCATATAGAACTATGTCCCTGTTTTTAGTCACCACTGGAAGTATCCCATATTGTTCCAAAAGTATTTTATCATTTCCATAAGATGGAGGTAGAATGTTACCATTTTATTTATAACTAGAGGCCTGGTGCACAAAAATGTGTACACTCGGGGGGGTCCCTCAGCCCGGCCTGTGCCCTCTCACAGTCTGGGACCCCTCGAGGGATGTCTACCTGCTGGCTTAGGCCCACTCCCCAGGGGATCAGGCCTAAGCTGGCAGTCAGATATCCCTCTGGCAGCCTGG